TCCTGGTGTGTGGCAGGCGCTGAGCGCGAGGAAGTTTGAGCGCCTCGAGGTGCCGCACACACGGTGGGGCCCCGGCCAGAGGGAGCTGCCCTCCGGGGCCAGGATCGGGGTCAGGGTGCAGGCACCCCGCCGTCACGTGGGGAGAACGATGGCCTGGGCCTGTGACAGTGGGATGGGGGACCTGCTTAGAGCACGTGTGATCCACAGTGAACAGTGAGTGATCCCCGACCACCCCATAGGTTCCTTAGCTTAAATAGGATAACGGATGACAAAGCACTTTACAGAGGCGAACACTGTTCCCGAAAGAGGATGGGGGCAGTTTGTGTGGAACTAGATCCGTTCATTGGGCACTTACACACCAGGCTCGGGGCACTAGTCACCGCTGTCCGCATAGATGGAGTCTTGGTACGTGCCAAGTGCTGTTCCAAACATGTTTCCATCCATTAACTCACTTCATCCTCGTACCAGCCGTACGAGCAGAATACCTACCGTTTTAATCCTCATTTGACGGGTGGGAAACTGAGGTAAGGCAGAGGGTTAAGGAACTTGCCCGAGGTGATGAGCTCATCAGTGGTGATGCCAGGATTCATGTGTCTGAGAGTCCTTCCGGCAGTCTAGACCACCCCTATGGTGATCTTCGATTACAGAGGCTTTACATGTTTTATCTCACACAGTTCTCAACTCTGTAGCAGCTGCTGTTAACATACTAGCATTTCCACTTTACAAGTGAGAGGCTGATGCTTAGAGGGGTGAAGTGCTTTGCCCAAAGCCATGTGTAAGTGGCGGAGCGAGGATTCAAGCCCAGGCAGCTCAGCTTCCAAGCTCTGGCCCTTCGGCATCAACTGGACTTTCCCAGAAGGCGGCTGAGAGGCTGGGGTCTAGGCCTAACCCGGTCCCTAAATTGTAGTGTGGCCTTGGGCGTGTCTGAGACCTGCATTAAGAACTCTTTGACTTTTAGGTCGTCTCTATAGGCCCTTCTGTTACTCATTCTGATTCTACGCTTCTGTTTTTCCCTCCTGCTTGTAGCTTGACGCCCAGCACCTGCCAGTCCCCCATGGCCCCGTGGAGCCGAGAGGCGGTGTTGAGTCTCTACCGGGCTCTGCTGCGCCAGGGCCGAGAGCTTCGCTACACGGACCGGGACTTCTATCTTGCCTCCATCCGCCGTGAGTTCCGGAAAAATCAGAAGCTAGAGGATCCCGAGGCCCGGGAGAGGCAGCTGGAGAAGGGCCTGGTCTTCCTCCAGCGCAGACTGGGGGGCATTATTTAGGATCCTCTCCTTTCCTCTGCCGTCCTAATTCAAGGGAAGGAGGGCAAAGGTGCCTTCTGTGGACCCTCCTGCTCCCCCCCTCCCCCCACCTCACAGATGCAGTAGCAGCTGCAGGTAGGTAGACCCTTGTTTCTGCAGGTTTTGTTTTTTTTCTGGTGCAGGGGACCGGGAGAGGGAGACCCTTTTCTTTCAGGGACCATAGTCCTTTAATCATTAGAAATCAGTGGAGAAACTACAGACATATTAACAGAGGTGTGTTCCCTTACTGAGAAAAAATAGGCCCTGAGTTTCAAGCCCTCTCAGAATAGGATTGTTATCACATTTTAGTTCAAGTAGAACAGTTTACCTATGAAAATGTTAGAAAAGACATTGGTTAAAGCTATTAGAGTTTAATTCAGGCTGGCTCATTATTCAGGACATTCAGTTATCTTGCAGGTCTGATCACATCCCCCAAAATGTAGCTCTGTCCTGTGACAGCGTCTGTAAAGTAAAGCAAGCAGAGTGTGCAGATATCGGGGGACGGTGTCAGGGCTCACAGCCCGGCACTGCTGCTAACGGTTGTAGGATTTAGGGCAAATCACTAAGCTGTTCGAGGCCTCCATTTCCTCATTTGTAAAATGGGCATAATAGTATGAGAATTAAATGTGAGAGTGCACCCCCAGCACTTAGGGTTACTTGGCAAGTGGTGTTAGTGCTGTTTGCTCCTGATTCCACTGTTACTAAGAAGTCCCACTAAATATAACCTAACGATCATAGTTAATTCAGCAGCTTCCCGAGGGCCTTCTATGGTGCTGGCTTTCGGGTAGGCGCTGGGATAGAGGTGAATGATCCTGTCCATCAAGGGCTTGGTCTAACGAGATCAGCAGGAAGTAATTCTGGCATGAGCAGCTCTGGTGTAGAGGGTTGGGCACAGAGCTTAGAGACAAGGATAAGCAAGCACATAGCTGCCTTGGGTCGGGGTAGTAGGGGAGTCGCGGGGAGCTGTAGGAAAGGACATTTGAGGTCTGCTTCAAATGAGAACTAGGTTGCTGAGTAGATGGCAAGAAGCAAATGTGGAGGTGCAGCTGCACTTTGTCCTGGAAACTCGAGTCTGGCATGGCTAGAATGGTGCACCTGTAAGGCAGGTGGCTGGAGTGGAGGCTGGGCCAGGTCCGGAAGGACACTGAATCCCCGGTTGAGGAGATTGGGACATCTGATAGTAGGGGGACCATCACAGCTTTGAAAGCAGCGAATGTCATGGGAGAGGGAGTGTGGCAGTGGCGGCCGGAGAATAAGTTGGTGGAGATACTAAAGGCAGCGAATATGGCCAGCCGAGATTGAGGGACCGAGGCGGTGGGCTGGCCGCACATACATGCAACTTGTACAGCAGTGGGGCTTGGTGACCAGCTGGCGGAAGCAGGAGGAGAAAGAAGAATGAAGGATAACTGAGGTGAAAGGCTTGCCAGCTGGGTGGGAGGTACTGTGTTCAGCTTTGACAGGAAAAGCAGGGAGGAGCCTTATGTAATGGCTTTCGGTTCTCCTCAGCCACTGGGTTGATTGGCAGGCCGGCCTTTGGCAGCGTGGGGCCCATAGGGGCTGCTGCACAGGAAGGCGGCAGGTCTGGAACCACACAGTGAGCTGCTAGTCTTTGGGCTCCTAATCTGTTTTGACTGAGTTGGGTTACAGGTCGCCACCACCCCCTCTTTGAAAAAAAAAAGCCAGAGTTCATAGCTCATTTGTGCAACAAATACTATGTGTCAGACACTGGCGCTGGGCAGTAGCAGTGAATGAGCCAAGTGCCCCCAGAAGCTTGTGGTCTGGTGGTTAACAGAGAGGAAATGTGAGCAAGCTACCCGAGACCCCTGTGAGCCACTCCCCAGAGCACGTCTAGTTCAAATCTCGGCACATCTTACTCACCTGGTGACCCTGGGCCAGTTACTTCACCTTTGTCTCAGTTTCTTCATCTGAAAATTGGAAATAATACTATGACTAACCTCACGGGATTGCTGGGGTGAGGAGTATTTCTCTTCCCTGAAATGGTGGCCGTGCTCAGATTCTCCACCCCCTGCCCTGCCCACCAGGTCACAACCATTTTTTGGTGTACAGTTCAGTAGCGTTAAGAACATTCACATTGTTTATGCCACATGAACAAAATCACAAATTTGGTTTTGGTACTTTTTGTTCCTCTTTGTATTCAGTTGTGTAGTACTTCCAGTTCAAAATGGAAGAAAAGCTATTCTGTATCAAACCATCTAAGCAATGTTATATTTTAAAAATGGCAACAACAACAAAAAAAGAATATTCACCTTGTGGTGTAACATCTCCAGAACTTCATCTTGCAAAACTGAGACTCTCTACCCATTAAAGCACCAGTGCTCCTCTCTGACAGCACCGAGGAGCAGCCCCGCTCCTTGCCTCTGAGTCCCGTTCCTAGGAGGCTCCCACTAGTGCAGGAACCTGAGTGGAGGACGAGCGGATAAGCACTTGCAGCTGGAACAAGTTAACTTAAAATAAGACCTTCTATCTCCCTGTTAGAGTTCATGGATGCTCTCTCCTCTTCCAGGTCACCAGGCCCTTGGGTGGGGAGCATATCGCACTAGAGTAGGAACGGCCTGCTCAACTTCACAGTTTTAACCTCAAGCCCAGGACAGCATGAGTCTGTCTCAGAAGTCAGATGTAGCTCAGAGAGCAATCTGAGTGCCTTCTGGAAGTTGACCCCTTGTCCTGTGGGTGCACATCTTAAAAGACTTAATGATAAACCCAAATTTTTGGAGTACTTTACAGTTTATAGAGTGTTTACACAGTGTTTTAGTAGATTTTTCCCTCACTATAGTCCTATGATTTAGACCCTGCAGGCATCATTCTCCCCTTTTCATAGCTGAGGGGTTAAATAATTCAGGGTTCAACGCAAGGACTCCATCTCAGGATTTCTGACTCGAAAACCCAGGCTTTTTTCTATTCTGCCACCTCCCCGCCTGCTCTCACCAGTCATCACATCAGACGGCCAAGGACTAAATGGCCCGGGCGGGAGAGGAGGGGGTTCCTTCTGGCTTCTGCTCGGATGGGACATGCCCTTCTGGTCTGCTGCGTCTCATCCCGGGATCACTCAGGGCAGGGTGGGAGCCTTTCCCTGCGAAGGGCCATTTGGATATTTATAGCACCCTTCGTGGGCCATACAACATTATCAACCTAAAAATTAGCTCGCGCCAGACATTTAATTAACTCACTCCTAACGCCTTGGCAAGGCCAACATGGCCCACGGGCCAGACGGTCCCCACCCTTTTTAGAGTGCCTACATCCAGTGGTGCTCCCTACTACAAATATATTAGCAAAGGTTCTCTTGTTTAAAACAACAAAACGGTGGTTATTATGTGTGGGAACCGTGCAATGTCTATGGTGTTCTGATTGGATTCCGCTGCCTCAACTGAGTGATATGTCCCATCTCTGTCTCAATGGTCCCGGAGAGAGGATGCTTGGATTCTTGCCTGCCTCCACCTGTAAATACAAAGGCAGCTCTCTCCTTGGCCTTGCTTGCTCTGTGCGTTTAAGTGGGAATCTATTTCATTTGGCCAAGTGGTCTCATTTGTCCCTAAGTGAAGCTTCTGTTGATTGTGAAAGGTGGAGAAAAAGGCCACCAAGGTGTGAACTCTACTAGGGGGAAATATTTTTGGACTTGACAGTGTTTGAGGCCCCAGGTGGTGATGGCTCTGTTCTGCCTTCATCCACAGGTGAGCAATGGCAGGCGCTGGCGAGCGCAAAGGCAAGAAGGATGACAATGGCATCGGCACCGCCATTGATTTTGTGCTCTCCAATGCCCGGCTGGTGCTGGGGGTGGGCGGAGCGGCCATGCTGGGCATCGCTACGCTGGCGGTTAAGCGGGTAAGTGCCTGCAGCCTGAGCCAGGGCTGGGAGAGGGGGGCGGCTGCCTCTGCAGAGCAGAGCTGGTCTGGAACAGGCCTTGACGCTGCTCATGGAGTCGAACTGGGTCACTGGTTATTAGATGAGACCTTAGGAGAGTTCAGTTAAGACTGCTGCTCGGTCTCTACCCCAAAGAAGTCGTTGGAGAGACAAATAAAGATGTTTATCCCAGCGGGTAAAAAGTTACAAGTACCCCAAATATTCTTCCTTGACTACCTTATTTAAAATAGCAACCCCCACCACGCATTGTTTCCATTTTCTTGCTTATTTTAACGATAATCTTTCTGCATACTTTGTATTTAACTTGTTTATGTTTTGCCTGTGTCCCTCTACTGGACTGGGTCTCTCTGGTTAGTGCTCTAGTCTTTACCTAGGACAGCACGTCATAGACACTCAATGAGTATTTGTTAAATGAATTAATCAGTGTTCACCATTACATTCATAAGGTACAGTGTGGTATAGTTAGAAAATGTACCATAATGTTGAACACCGGTTCATTTTTACTGGTATGAGTAAATGATAAAAATCATAAGTGAAAAAAATCGGGTTTCAAAAGTATATATAGAGCAGGATCCTAATTACCTAAATCTATTTTTCCAGAAAGAAATATACTAAATTATTAACATTTATCTCTGGGTTGTGACATTATGGATAAATCTGTTTCTTATTTATATCATTTCATGTTTCCTGAACTTTTCTATTTTCTACATGGAGAAACTATAATCCAGAATAACACGAAGGTATTGAAAATGAGTCTAGAGCTCACCAAAGCTGCTGGGAAGGAGGGAAGCAGGAGGAAGGAACATGTGTGGACGGGGCCTCTTGCTGTTTCAGATGTACGATAGGGCAATCAGTGCCCCTACCAGCCCCACCCGCCTGGGCCATTCGGGGAAAAGGAGCTGGGAAGAACCAGCCTGGATGGGCTCCCCCCGACTGCTGAACAAGGACATGAAGACAGGCCTGAGCCGGTCCCTGCAGACCCTTCCCACAGACTCCTCGGCCTTTGACACAGGTGAGAAAGCCTCTGCCCCTTCTGGGACTTACCGGTGGGCTCTCAGTGCTACTCCTGCATGTAGCAAACATTCCATGAGCACATGCGTGCCAGGCACCGTGCTAGCACTTGCCTGTTGTGCCAAGCCCTTCTTTCTGGGATCGAGGCAGCCTGGGAAGAGCTGACATGCTTCTCTCTCTTGCCTTGGCAGATACATTCTGCCCACCCCAGCCCAAGCCACTGGCCAGGAAGGGCCAGGTAGACTTGAAGAAGTCACGGCTCCGCATGTCCCTGCAGGAGAAACTTCTTTCTTACTACCGGAACCGGGCTGCCATCCCTGCTGGTGAGCAGGCTCGGGCCAAGCAAGCTGCCGTGGACATATGTGCTGAGCTCCGAGGCTTCCTGCGGGCCAAGTTGCCTGACATGCCACTTCGGGACATGTACCTGAGTGGCAGCCTCTATGATGACCTGCAGGTAACAAGGCGGTGCTCACACAGGGTCGGGCTGGGTACTGACCCACATGCTGCTCAGTCGTGCTGTTGGTACAAAAGATGAGTGACCTAGGCTTGCCAGGAAGACTGAAGTCTGACTGCTTCTGAACTCTGCACACAGGGAGCATCTGGGGAGCATTATCTTGGGTCTTGTTAGTGTGTTTTTTTCAGATATAGATCTCATTTTTTAAAAAAAATATATTTTATTGATTTTTTACAGAGAGGAAGGGAGAGAGAGATAGAGAGTTAGAAACATCGATGAGAGAGAAACATCGACCAGCTGCCTCCTGCACATCTCCTACTGGGGATGTGCCCACAACCCAGGTACATGCCCTTGACCGGAATCGAACCTGGGACCTTTCAGTCCGCAGGCCGACTCTCTATCCAATGAGCCAAACCGGTTTTGGCAAGATCTCATTTTTTAAAAAAAATTTATCTTGGTCTTTAAAAACCTTTTGTTTTTTAGTCACAACTTCTAGGAAACCATAAGAGGCCTCCTCCTTCCTCCCTCCGGTTCCTGCCTCTCCTTTCCAGTTTTCTCTTTTTGGGTCTTTAGGCGTGGGGGATGTCCCGCATACGTTCATGCCCCAAGACAATGTGGCACGTGGCGTGAGCACAAGCTGGTGTCTGCAGACCTGGGTTTAAATCCTCACTATGTCTATATCTGAACTGAAAGGTGGACAGGAAAGAATTCTTAGTTTCCTTTATTGCTGGGGGAACACAAGATGGAGGGACCTGTGTTTGAGGAAGCTGGCTTCTTGAGCAGATTACATCCCTCAAAACCTTTTTCATTCTTCTCACCAGGTGGTGACAGCCGACCACATCCAACTCATTGTGCCCCTTGTTCTGGAGCAGAACCTGTGGTCGTGTATTCCTGGCGAGGACACCATCATGAATGTCCCTGGCTTCTTCCTGGTTCGCCGTGAGAACCCAGAGTACTTTCCTCGTGGTAGTAGTTACTGGGACCGCTGTGTAGTAGGGGGCTACCTCTCCCCAAAGACAGTGGCAGACACATTTGAGAAGGTAGTGGCTGGCTCCATCAATTGGCCGGCCATAGGGTCTCTCTTGGACTATGTGATCCGCCCGGCACCCCCCCCAGAGGCCTTGACTCTGGAAGTGCAATATGAGCGTGACAAACATCTTGTCATTGACTTCTTGCCATCAGTGACTCTCGGTGACACTGTCTTGGTGGCCAGACCACACCGGCTAGCCCAGTATGACAACCTGTGGCGGCTGAGCCTGCGTCCTGCTGAGACGGCGCGCCTGTGGGCTTTGGACCAGGCCGACTCGGGCTGCCGATCTCTGTGCCTCAAGATCCTCAAGGCCATATGCAAGTCCACTCCAGCTCTGGGCCACCTCACTGCCAGCCAGCTCACGAATGTCATCCTCCACTTGGCCCAGGAGGAGGCTGACTGGTCTCCAGATATGCTGGCCGATCGGTTCCTGCAGGCCTTGAGGGGACTCATCAGGTACCTAGAGGCCGGAGTCCTGCCCAGCGCCCTAAACCCCAAGGTGAACTTATTTGCTGAGCTCACCCCTGAAGAAATAGACGAATTGGGATACACTCTCTATTGCTCATTGTCTGAGCCAGAGGTGCTGCTGCAGACGTAGGGCAGGTGAGGGCCAAAGGGGTGCTGGGCAGTCAGGCCCTGGATTCTCTGTTAGAATCACGGCTCTAGAGATGGTGCCTCACAGGGTCCCTAGGTGCCTCCTGTCCTGCTGTCCATCGCCCTGGTCACTTCATGCTGATTAGAATGACATCTTTTAAATCTCCTATTTTCTCAAACCCAACCCTTTCTATTTTTGTTACCAAACACTGTGCTCCCTCCTCCTCCTTTACCCCTAGCTCCAGGCTAGTTTTGCTGGAATGAATTGACCAGGTGGAGCGCTGGCCTGAGCTGTTGAAAACACTTGGTGTTTTGCATGTGGCCCAGGTTTTCTGCTCCTGTCTGTCCCGCCTTGCCCTTTGGCCTGCTTCTCTTCCGTGTCTTCTCTACCTTTTCCTATTGTTCATGCCTTGTTTTGTTCCTTTCCCTGGAGCACACCTGCCTAATCAAGATGTTGCCTTTAGTTGAATATCACTCACCTTATTGCATGTTTCCAAGCTGACCTCTGCAGAGCGCTCAGACAGTATTTAGGGTTTCTGGGGGTACAGTGACCTTGGATTCAGGTTCCTGGAAAAGCAGCCCATTCCCCCAACCTCCTGACCAACTCCTAGCCCTAGTGCTGAGAGGTCTCTCATGGGAACACAGTCATTGACCCACACAGAGTGGGGGCTCAAGATAAACTGATGCAATGTTATTTGGAGAGTGTGTTTTTTAGTGGCCACCAGTGAGCGTGCAGAGTGGGGGAACCGGAGGTGGCCTGGGAGAGGATCTGTGTACTTGATGTCTCCAGCTCATGTGGCTGGTCCAGACCACACCACCTGTGTGCAGGAGTCAGAGGAAGACGAGGAGGGAGGGGGCTGCAAGGGCAGCACCTCTGCATGAGCGCGTTCGTTCACCCCTTCCTTGCCTCCTTGTCCTTTAGGATGAGGCCTTCAAGAACACAGCCTTAGCCCTAGAGGTTGAAGGGAGGTGGACAGGCAGCAGGATGTCAGCTGGAAGACCCAGTCCTCAGTTGTGGCTCAGTGACCATGTTTCTCCCCCATCAGGCCTGCCTTTCTAGGATGTTGTCTTAGAGCAAGAACAGTCCTACCCGTCCGCCACAGTAATGTGAGAGGGCTGTTTGCGGAACTCTCCAGGCACCTCCAGAGGCCAAAGGGCACCCAAACATGCTCAGACCTCTCCCCAATCCCCCACCCCACCCCAGTTCTGTCTCTCTCTCACCCAGCACCTGGGGAGATTGGTGCTACCTAGGAAGAGTGCACACGGATAAAACACATGAAGGAGGTGGGGACTTCCTACTCTCCTTGTTTCCCGCTGCTACAATTGCACTATTTATTGCAATGTAAAAAGTATCCTGAGGGTGGGGAGGAGTGTTTAATACACAATGCCAGTGCATCTTCTTGTTTTGTGTATTTTTTTCCTGTTTGTGGCAAAAGCCTGATAATTCTGTTTCTGGTCACCTGTCCAGTATTTGTTCTCCCATCAAGTGTTGCTGTTTTCTCTGTGCATACTACCTCTCCAGCCGTGAGATTCTGGTGAAGCGCTGCAGCTGTCTCATTCCTTCCCAGTGACAGTGACATGAAATGGCTCTATAAATAGCAATGAAACCTCAGCTGTCCTCTGGATTTAGGGCGAGATTCCTGTTCCCTTTTTGTCATGGACGAGGGGTTGAGAACGAGGGTTAACCTTGGAGAACTTCCTGCCTTCTATGTGTGTGCAAGGGTTCCTTTAAGTGGTCCAGTTGTGTCATTTGTATGAAGGCATTGGGAGAGAAGGAAGAACATAACGCTCAGAACCCTGAGAGGGATTCCCCAGCCTGGCTGTTCAGACTCGAAATGGAGTTTTAAAAATCTATGTGCCTGAGTGCTCCCTGGTGAGTGCAGAGGTAGTGGGTATGGCATCCAGGAGAGGGGTGGGCTGAGAAAGTGAGAAAGTGTTGCCAAAACATGGGTTATTACTCACTGAGATAAGGATTTGGTTTTCCCAATGTATTATAAAACGTACAATTTGCCTGGTTGATGTGGCTCAGTGGTTGAGCGTTGATCCATGAACCAGGAGGTCACAGTTCAGTTCCCGGTCAGGGCATATGCCTGGATTGTGGGCTCAATCCCCAGTTTGGGGCATGCAGGAGGCAGCCCATCAATGATTCTGATCATTGATGTTTTTGTCTCTCTCTCTTCCTCTCTGAAATCAATAAAAAATATATTTAAAAACAAATATAAAGGCAGGGATTCTTACTGCCTTTGCATTGAAAGACTAGACAAAAAAAAAAAAAAATCCCCTACAATTTTCCCAAGGTGGTTTCTCCAACCAAATTCCACATAAAACATCGAAAGGAGAGCTAAAAAAAGAAACCATTTTAAAGATCAAGTCTCCAATTATTAAAGCCACGTGTAATTGTGATTTGAGTTTATCTCCTCTCTTAAAGAGCATCTCTCTCAACTGTGTTTCACAAAACCAAAACACCATAACTTTGCCATTTCATAAGCAAGAACCTCTTAGACGTTCTCAGAACTAGAAGCTGTGGGAATTCCCTGTCCTGGTCCTGGTGGTTTTGCTGACCAACTGGGCAAACCTCATCATAAAACATGGAAGACAGACAAGTACTTTGAGATTCTCGGGTAGAAGAGGGCAACATTCTGCTTCCCCGTCTCCCCCTTTAATTTTTGGGGAAAGATGTGGTGCCTTTCCCACCATTCTGCCTTTCTACTCATAACTCCCCTTTCCTGAAGCAATAGCACCTGGTCCTATGTCTCCAT